CCACAGACTTGTGTTTTCCTTGACACCCCTGGACATGAGGTAATTAATGATGTAGCACTGGTTCTAACTTTTAACTGCTTATTCATGCAAGTTTTTTTTCCTTTTTTTAAAATTTTTATGTCAAATGCTCTTCTTGGAGATTTTGCAGACATATCTTAAAAGGCCTTTGTCAAGATGAATTATCTAACATAATTGTAAAAATGTTGGATAGGCATTTCGAGCAATGAGAGCTCGTGGAGCCAGAGTAATAGACATTGCTGTTATTGTAGTTACTACTGATGATGGAATTCGACCTCAAACAGAAGAGACCATTGCTTGCCAAAGCAGCTGGAGTGCGAATTGTTATTGCTATAAACAAAGTGCGCTTGCATTTATTCTGAGATTTTCCACTGTGTGTTGGCTTGTATATCATTTAGTCTCATTTGCATTCTGCTTTTGATGTATGAAACATGATGACAAATCTCCTCTTGCTTATAGGAGTTGGCATTTTCAGTTCTCATAATCACAGTACTGCTCAAGTTTGATGTTTCTAGATTTTTGCATCATAGCATATTATCTTATATGCATTCTGTTCTTTGGGATAATTTTAAAAGTCCTTTGGGTTTCTGATTGACGGAATGTATAGCAGGGAGCATTACCTGCAGGTTGCTTCTATCTCAAAAAAAAAAAAAAAAATCCTGACAATTAAAAGTGTCAGCATAGAATTCGATATTCTAATGTTGTACTATACCTATCCTGACACTTTCAATTATCAAGAAAAGGGATTTTTGTTGGGAGATGGGATATTATAACAGCATAGTTTTCCTGACATGTTGAATAGTACGAGTCTATCCCCACATTGGAAGGGACAACACTCGCCCTAGGTGTGAGGATAGATAAAGTGTCAGGTTAGATTATCTATACTGACACTTTTAAATGCCGTTAAAGGCCATTTTTGTTGTAGTGTGAAGCAATGTTTTAGTGAAAATCTACATACAAAAACTTATAATATGTAGTACGTGAAAAGGAAAAATATGTAGTATGTGAAAAGAAACAGGCCTCCTCCTTCCTCCTATCCATGTCCTTTAAAATCCGTCTTCCGTCCTCCCTCCTCCTCTCCCCTTCTCCTCCTTACCCCTACCTACCCTGCTCCTCCTTCTTCTTGTGACTAGGTCTGGTTGCTGTGGCTAACCAACCTAGGCCACATGGGTAGGAGTGGGGTTGGGGGGTAAGGATTGATGGGACGAGGAAGTGTCGGAACGAGGAGGAAAGGGAGGAATAATAAATAATTTTTAAAAATGCCCCAAAAATTCTAAATTCTAAAGCACTGTATAATATATTTGCATAGTATAGATTTTAGAATACAATACTATAACAAAAAAATTTTTTGTGAAAGGCATCCTAAGAAATATTTAATCCATACGGGACTCCAGCTTTCTCGTCCTCGGAATCCTCCTCCATCCTTCAACATCTTGATGGATGATAGCTAACAACCTCAAATCCACGCTGGACGAATGATGGCTGGATATCATAAATGAGAGGCATGACGGTGGAGAACAAGTTGAGGAAATTAAAACCTGAGTAATTTTACAAAACACAGAATGCATAGGAAGGACTGCTCCCAAAATTCTGTTTAGATATGTTAGTGTACTGGTCCAAAAATAAAATAGTGAAAGAGAATGCGATCTTGGCCAATCGAAACATCGTATTAGCAAAATAATAAAAATAAATCATAAGTGGACCGGTCCCGAAATATTGAGGATAAGAATGGTCACAATCGGGGTTGTATGATAATGTTAGTGTCAATCAATGTCAATATTAAAAGAAGAAAAAATATGCAATCTAGCGTGAAGAAAATGTGCATAAATCTGATTTTACATGTTCCAACCTGTTGGCACAAAAATATGAAGCAAAGTGAAATTTTTTAGTCATTTAATATAAGTTATTGCCACATTAAACTTTTTTATCATTAATCAAATCTCTACCTTTAAGATAAAGGGCAATGCTACAGTGCCGATAGTTATGGTAACGATAGTGGGGCAACCTGCAATTGCAGGTTCCTATTGACTTTGGCAACACACAAGGCTTTTTAGCACGCTTTCAAATATTGTACTATAATAATTAATATTAGTGTTGGCAAGTTTTTCAATAAAATAGGTAATTATTTCTTGTAAATAGTAAATTTTACTTACAAATAGAAATTTATGCTTTGAGTAATCAAATTTGCTCGTTATTTATAAAATTCATTTTTTTACTTATTATTTGATAAATTTCATTTTTTCCTTAAATTAAATTTACTAAAAGGAAAAGGAAAATTTTTTGCATCTTTAAGTAAAAATTACCACTAGATGATGGTGGCCTACTTGCCCAACCACACACTTTACTCTCTAGACCAACTTTTAACAATGTAAAATTGGTGTCATTAACAATAGTTGAAGTTCCATTAACATTGCTTTATCCAAAGGTAACATTTAACCTAAGTAACAAAATAAATGAAAGCTTCTTTAAAAAAAAAAAAGAAAATATTTGCTCAATCGATTTTGTTCAAACTAAAATTTCTATTAATGGATTAGTAGCATATGCTAAATTATATTTTCATTTGTTGGAAATCAATATGCATAAGATATCACCGAAGGACTAAATAATATTGATCTCTTAAACAAATCATACCTAAACTCATGATATGATACGTTGTGCAATGCTCACCTTTATACTCATGCTATTGTCTTTTTTTCTATTTGTTTTTTGAATGTGCAAAATTCTTTTGAATATATTGGTGGAAAAGCAAAATATCTTTTACAAAATTATTCCAATTTATTTATAAAATGTTAGCACTTTAAGGGAAACTATGTATTATAAGAATGGTCTGATACTTTTCTAGTGAACATAACTACTACATCAAAAACTATAGGATTCTTAGAACTATAGATGTAGGAGTAAGAATGAATACTAGTAATTATGTGTTAAATTTGACAGCTAAAATAGCGTACACTACAGAAACAAAAAAAAAAATGGTTTTGCTGCGAGCGAAAAAGAAAAAAATTAGGGTTCCAAATTTATGTGCAAAAATGTCTTTTTGGCACAAGTTTTACAATTGTGGTGTCAAAGAACTTGTTACCACCGTATCTTTTCCCTTCCTTAATTATTTTTGTAAATAATAAACTTATACCCTAATGATTAAATACGTGCAAAAAAATATCAGTAGCTTTGTCACAACTTTCATTTCATTTGGCATAGTAATACCTATAAATATTACGTAATGAATTAAAATTGTATTTTGGTCAACTTTAATATTATCCAATTGTCATTAATCACCTTAATCCCAAATATACATAGATTGTAGAAACATAGACAAAAGCACTACAGACTACTTGTTTTTATAAACAAACACAAATTAGGTATTTAATGAACATATAGCATGACGAACAAGTCATTCGAAAGTATTTCAAGAATGGTCAAGCATTTTCTGTTGTGATATATTCAATTGTGCATATAGGCCTCATTACACAAGTTTATGTAAGGCACAGAGTACATGCATGTAATTTACTTATTGAAAACCAATGTCATACTTGGAGGCCATTTCTTTTAGCGTATGGAAATATACATATGGAAAGAATAGGAGGAGTAGAAATAGAGCAGATGCTGACGTTTGTAGGATCATTTTGATGTACTTTTCACTCCTAATTGAACGATTAGGATGCACTAAAGTCAAACGAGAGGCACTGGATTATGTGCTGTGCTTGATGTATACACATTCCTACCGATTTAATACCAATCCAACTCTTCAAAACCCATTGCACTTTCCCATCCTCACCAATCCCGGCATCCCAGCAAGACAGTAGATTCTTTGTTTCTCTTGTCTCAAAGAAAGAAAACAAAAAAGAATGGAGGAACAGATTACCAACACTAAAATTCCAATCATTAAAATAATTTCGGATCTTGGTTTTTCGCAAATCAATTTGTGCTTAAAATTCCTACCACTTTATATCTCATTAACATGGATTAACTGATTCATATGATTCTCAACCTTTTTTTTTTCCTTCTGGGTGTAAAATTGATTGCTTGCGTTGAACAAGTGTTCCCCGAAGGAATTTAACACTAGAACGGGGATTAAGTGCATTTAATTTCTAAAACCACAAGGGAGTTTCCAATAATTGGTAGAAGGGAATGTTTTTGAAATTATCGCTAAACATTATATATGCAAATACATATTTCTATCATGGTTGATTATCCTTGCGATGGCAAGATTCTCAATTTAAAAGGTTAATTTAGCAACTGGATACTCATAGGTCAAAATGTAGGACTGTATGCGTGGATTATGATAAGTGCTTATAAAAGTTCAATTAATTTTCACAATGAAAATTCGAAGCCATGAATTGTTCTTTTATGCAAATATTTTTCTTGCATTGATAATGTATATATTAATGATTTTTTATGCATAACGTATGTGAAGGACCTTTTTTTTTTTTTTTTTGATCTTTATATGAAGGATTTAGAATTTATATTTGACTAAGTAATTGCTTTCTCCACCAAAAAATAATTTTGTTGCAGGCTTGACATATACTAGTAGAATAATGTAGAGTCTAGTCTTCTCTGCTGCTTCCATGCTAGAAATTCGAGTTTGCTATGTATGTTTGTTTTTGTTTCAGAGACTGAAATTTCCGAATTTTTACGGTTGAATTTTGTTTGTTTTTGTTTGAGAGAGTGTCTGGTGATGCTGAATAGTAACTATTCTTCAAGCTTAGTAAGAATGTGAATAAGTATTATTTGGCACATGTTGCATTTGGCACCTACAACGAACTCTTCTATAAATGGTCCGTCATTCGGCAGCCAAAATCACCACTGCAAAACCCCTAAAACAACTAAAAAATATATTCAACATGGCTGCTAGTTTACGACCCCTCTTCTTAGCAATAATACCCCTGCTGATGATTTCATCCTTGATCAGCTCCTCAGAAGGCGCAATTGGTTCTACTGGGGCCAAAATCCTCATGCTGGAAACCTGACCGAGATATGCCTCAATGGTACTGGTATCTATGAATACGTGCTATCGCCTTCTTAAATTTCGAGGGTAGCAAAACAGTCTTGAGCATAGATGACCATTGCAATCCGAGCATCCCGGATAAGTGCGCCTCCCTAGGTCCTATGATAGATTTCTGCAAGGGCCAAGGCATCAAAGTATTTCTTTCCCTTGGTGGGAGGCCTGATCTTTCTCCTGATGATGCTCAGAAAGTTGCAGATGATATCTGGAACAAGTTTTTGAATAATAGTGCAGGCCATGTCCTCTCAATGCTACTGTAGATGGAATAGACTTCCGTATCCAAAGCGAATCAAACCAGAGTCTGGATGTTCTCGCCCAGGCACTCTCGGCTTATAGCACACCTGACAGAAAGGTGTACTTATCTGCAGCACCACTTTGTCAAATTCCTGACTATTATCTTGACACTGCTATCAAAACTGGCGTCTTTGACTACGTGTGGGTGCAATTTTTCGGTGATCCTTCATGTGAATACAGTCCAGAAAGTCCGTCTCCCCTCATCAGAAGTTGGATTGCATGGTCTTGCTATCTAGACAAATATAATACTACATTATTCCTGGGATTAACAGGAGATTCTGACGATGACGGTTACATCCCATGTGTACCGCTAGTCAGTGAGATTCTTCTCTTTGTGGAGTGGTTTCCCAAATATGGAGGGATCATGATGCTTCAGGGCAAATACTATTGCCTTCTTTTAAATCATTCCAGTGAAAAAATCAGGTCTTATGTTAATTCTGATGTTATGGCCTATGGTAGAAAGTCCATGAATAAGTTCCAAGCCATCTAATCATGAATAAGTTCCTCTCGTTACCTGCTGAGAGATGAAATGTAATCCTGGTTGTTTGCCAGATATGTATAACTATGGGTTATGAATTCCCAAATTAAATAAAATGTTGGAGGATAAATATATATTGTGCTTTGCGTTATCTCTTGCATGAACAGGTACTGAGAGATTGGACAACTCACAAACTACAGTATTAAATATTGTTTCGCGGCATCTTTTAGATTAGTTTCAAGAAATCGGAGCTTTTTAATTTTCTTATTAGACGAATTTTTCGATGGATTAAAGGTAATTTGACGACGATCCTTGCTTTTTCAAAACAAAGCACCCAATTAGTCCTCTAACTTTTTTTTTTCAAATCACCTTTTGTCATTTAACTTCAATTTGAGACATTGTGATCCTTTGACTTTTGTTTTTGGATCAACTTGCTCGTCGGTCTTTTACCGACCATCTTAAAAGGGGCAAAGTGGTTAAGTTATATTTCTAATCACTGTACCAAGTCTTAAAATGACCCTCCTCTTTCCTGCAAATCTCAACAGTGTTTGGAGTCATGTTCAAGCACAGAATTATACTAACATTCCAAGACACAGCTTCCAATAATTTAGAGTTATTAGTTTCAATTCTAGCATCAAAAACTGAGTTGCACAAGCATTTCATGAATTGCTGAAAACTAATTCATTTTGAATTCAACTTTTTTTTATATATTTATACATAATTCTTTTATTTATTTATGTGTTTATTTTGCTTTTATTCATAATTGTTTGGGGTGGGTTAAACTGAAAACTAAAGTATGAAATTTGAATATTGAAATTCTAAGTGTTCAACCTTAACTTACTCAGTTTTTAAAGTTATATGTGTTTGATAATGAATTGAACTTTGAAAATGGAGTAAAGATATTCTTTTCCATAAGGCCTAAAAAAATCCTATCAATATGCAGTATATAGTTTAATACAATTATACTTTAATTTTACATTGAATTAGTTTTCAAAAGCTTGCATGTGTGAGAGGGAAAGTATGTGTTTATATGTGAAAATATATGTTTGAGAGATAGAAATGTGTTAGAGAAGGTATTATGTATTTGTGAGAAACAAGGACGGAGAAAGAGATTGTGTCTTGAAACTGTGCACGAGGAGGCCTTGAAAAGAAGCTTGTGGGAAAAATTCTTAACTAATCTGGTGCCAAATGCAAATGCACCTCAAATTAGGAGTGTGCATGACAAGTGCTGGGCCTGTGCAATAATAAAAACCTGCTCAACTAAAGTTAATTTTTGCAAATAGTGGTAAGCAGGGTCGAATCTACAGGGATTGGGAGTGACTGTTTCTTTTCAAATCCACAGTAATAAAGGAGGTGTTTTTGTGCAAAAGATGACAATCAAAGAAATTCAAATAAAATCTAAGAAACTATTAAAAAAGTTACTAAAATCAAATGAATGATAACTAAGGCTCTAGGCAAGAAATAACTTTAGCAATGGTGCATCTAATTGATCATCGAAGCAAAGGCAATTCCAATTATTTATCAATAAATAGGTTATAACTACCAAATAAGTGATGGCAGTCAACTCCTCCTGACTGTGTCGGTGATTAAGGTACGCTCGTTAATCACTACTCTAATTAGGAAATAATCCTAGGTACGCCCGTAAGATTTAATTTTCCAATTGCCTTACGTATTAGAGGAGCCCTATTCTAACCAAATAACATACTACCAGGGTATTTTAGATTAGCCTGCGTATCCCATTAGTGACACAACCCAATTATGTCAGTTGTCACTAATCAAGGCAATTAAACAATTACGGATTTAATGCCCTAATTGACAATAGATTTCAAGTTAACTTATCCGGATCCAAGAACCAGTTAATTAAATAATCATAAGTACTGCAATCGAGGAATATGCGAATACCAATAAATAAAAGGAAAAGATAAAATTTAATCAATCTCACAATTTTTAGGCGAACCAAGCCTCCGTTGTCCCTTGACTAGAGTGGAAAAATTAGTTCATATCTGATGAACAAAACCCACAGGAAATTGAAGCAAGAGCTGGCGGCATCAATTGAAAATGGGTGAATTCAATTCGCCCTATTCAATTAAGGAAAGCAAGCTACAGGAGCAATTGATTGTTTTGCTTCCTCTGGCATACGGAGGAAAGATACTACTAAAGCTAGAAGGAAGTCAAGTCCCCAGCTACGCAAAAGACGAAAGACTAATAAGAACAAGAGATAGTCCTAATCCTTTGCAATTTCTGGTTTTTATCTCCTGCTCTAGATGTGCGGCGGCTCCCAGGGAAAGGAACCAACCCCTCTTCGATTCAGCCAATGCCAAAAGAAAGGGTCAAAATTTTTTTCTTTTCCAAAATTGCCCTGGGACAAGCGTTGCTACTTGCACTCTTTTCTGTCAAATTGGTACTTGTTATCATATTTTTATTCTTACTCCATGAATAAATGCCAAATACTAAAAGTGAGTAAATCCAGCATTAATCCACATCAAGTTAGGTAATGGGAAAATTAATAATAAAATAATAAAACTGCACCCTATCATTTGCCCCCACACCTAAACCGTGCTTGTTCTCAAACATGAGAACAGCAAACAACACTAATATTTGACAATGGCTATTGCTCTATCTACCATATTGCAAGATACCAAGAAAAACATATATCAAGCATCAGTGATCAAAATCCGAGAAGCATCACTCCGGTTAATTTCTAAACCACAAATTCCTCTAATTTCAGGTTAACTAATCTAAGAAAAAGGAATGGTCGCTCAACATTACCAGCAAATGGTCCAGTTATTAACCAAAATCTCAACATTAAATTCACAAATGGCAAGCTAACTTTTTCACACACTAACACAACCTTCACCTTTTTGTCACACTTTTCTATTTTTTTTTCTTTTTTTCCCTTTTTTTTTAAATAGGAACAAAAGACTTAGTCTCTAGCCATCGGAGTCTTTTAACACGAACTCCGACATTTGTCAGATGAAAGAACCGATTACTCATCTCCTATCGCCACGTGACCACGTACTCATAGCAATTACTATTTTTTGACGTGAGAATCGACACTTTTGATGAAGATCCCCGGTTACTCGGTAGTAAAGACTAGCGGAGTACAGTCAACTCTTATTCACAGCTAAATAACACAAAAACTCAATATAACACAAAGAAAACAAAGAAAATTGCATCAGCTAGCCTCATTTTCAAAAATGGAGAACTAAGGTTAATAACCGGACCAATTCACATGAAAATACCAACAATCATTCCCTATGCCTAGGAAAGCTAACCCAGAATTATAAAAGTCACACAGTCTTTGATATTCATCCAAGAGGTATTCTTAGACTCAACCACGTCCACTTGATACACTTTCGTTACTAAAATTTGGCAAAAGTAGAAATAGAGGCAACAATCCAATATCAAACCTTGGCATGCACATACGAGCTAATCACTAAAAAGAAAGAAAGAAAATGAATGAAAGGTAGACAAATAACAAACTAAAAATAAAGAAAAAAAATCTAAACTCAAAACTAAAGACACTAGCACCATAACTGCTCCCCCCACACCTAAATCCTACATTGTCCTCAATGGAGGAAATAAAGCAATTTAAAGCGGAGAGGACAACGAAACTTCCCTCTCAAGTGGCTAAGGGGTAGCCAGGAACGGTAGAGGGAAACCGATGTGATGGAAGTACGCGGCCAAGTTCTGAGACATCATAACTCAATTCAACCAGCAAATGCAAAACTCTATCCACCAAAATCTCAACAAATGGCTCCAGTTGGCCAGTTAATGCCTTAACTCAGAATCAGTAATTTCAACAATGACAGCTTAGATATTTGACAATAATAACTCAGCCAACCAAATAGAGGTACCCAATTGAGGTCCAATTATCCCACCAATACCACTGGTGTAGCAAACAACGGAAAAGAAATCACACACGACCAATACCAAGTCACTGATAAACCAAAATAACAACTAACTACCAACAATTGAGGACCGAGTTACAAATACCTCCATGGGTCATCGAGGGAAGAAGCAGGAATGGAGGAGAGGGAGAGAGTGGCGCGCGAAGTAGCCGCGCGATGGCTGCCGCGGCTGTTGGCAGCTGCGGCCGCGGGAGAGAAAGAGAGAGAGATGCGCAAGGGAGCTGCGGTGCTTGCCCGAGTTAGAGGAACGGCGGCGAGGTGGTGGCCAGGAGGCGGCCCGTGCTTGCGTGGCGAGATGGATGAGCGATCGAGGCTGAGATCGCGCGCTTGGTGGCCAGCCTTGGGCTACGGCGCGGCCGATGAGGAGTGGCGGCGATGGAAGGGCTTCGGGTGACACAAGGAGAACAGGGGAGAAGAAAGAAAGAAGAAAGAAAGAAAAACATAGAAAAGAAAGAAAGAGAAGAAAGAAAGAAAAGAGAAAGAGAAAAAAGAAAAACAAATAGTTTGGTTTTTTCAAATTTTTTGTGCGGTCGGTTTTTTTTATTAAATAAAAATTTGTACTTTGGAAATCTAAGCTATGGTGAATCAAAATTTAAAAAAAATTTTAATTAATTTTTATTTTATTTTATTTTTTTGCAAATTTTATTTTCGAAATTCAAAATTAGAGATTAACAGAAAATCAATAACCGTTCTTGAGTTTTTTTGAATATTTACCTTTCCCGCGAATGTGATGTGGGCACGTGACAAAGGCACGGAATGAGGAGCTCTCTAGCTGGCTTGACGCGGGCACGTCATGAGGGCAAGAACCCTTCTGACCATGAGCTCTCCCTACGACTTGACGCAGGCGCGTCAAGTCAGAGAATACCTACAAATCATCAAAAATGAACATTGAAGCCAGAAATCAGTCAAATTCAAGGAAAACATATTTAAACTAACAAACAAACCGAACAAACAACTAAAAGAAATTGGGTTGCCTCCAATGAGCGCCTTTCTTTAATGTCTTTGGCTAGACATTGTCATGTTTGTTCAGGGAGGATAAAATCTTATGACTCGTTTCAATGCTTCATCCTCTATATAGTCCTGATAGCCCTTGTAAATAGA